CCTCTTAGGGCAGTTCCTCTTGAGGTGGCCTGGCTTTTAACAGTGGTAGCAGATGAATGCAGTTGTCGAGTTCTTCTTGGGGCCCCGGGAGAGCTATTATATCTAAACCATAACTGAGTTCTCTAGAGAGGCCAGAGTAAAACCCAGCTTCCACCAAGTGAGTTCTCTCCCTGATTCATGCTGATGCTGCACAAGGCATTGTATGGGTTGGTCCCTAAGAAAGACGCCACTGTGCTTCACATCACAAAAAGAGTTTGCTGAGGGCCTTTTGGTACAAGTAACAGAACCCAACTAAAAACCGATTTGGAAAAAAGGGAGAGGGAGGGTACTCAGGGGCTCACATAGTGGAACCAAGGGTAGCGAATGTGGAGTTGGCCACACGGTCTGTTGACCAGTAGACAAAAGAATAACATCTCTCCCATACTTTCTCTCTCTCCCTCTCTTCCTCCCTCCCATCATTTATATACTTGTATATTTCCTAGGATGATGAAAACCCATCATATCAAAGCTTTCCATTTCCTCTTTCTGCTTTTTTGGGATTTAGCTCCTTTTTGAGATAGCTGTGAAGCCTCAAGAAATTTACATATAAGAGACTTACAAAATACACCATCCAAATACTATGTATGTAGACCTCGTTAAAATTATTGAAGTTAGGTAAGGGTAAGCAGTGGTTCATCATCTTGGTACCTCTACTTTTATGTTTAAAATTGCCCGAATGAAAAACATTTTAAAAAGGATTCCAAAAGTTAGAATTCAAGTCAAAGGTTGTCTTAGAAACCTAGAAACGTCTTTACCTTGAGGTTGTTTTTCAAGCAGAAGGATTTTCTCTTTAGACGAGTCTATTCTGATGGTTCTAAAAGTTCCAGTTTGCCCTGAGGGAGTCCAGCTCAGTGTAGGCTTCAGAACTGGGCTTCTTATGAAACAATTCCACCCACAGGAATGGAGGGTGAGGGGAACATGGGGTGAGCAGGAGTGAGTTTACCACTTTGATCATTCCCCTCTGCTGGATATCGATTTACCAGGAAGGTGACTTGACTTGTATTTGTGAAAAGGATATGTTTGCTCTGGTCATATTTTGTGGAAAGTTTCCAACATTTATAGTTCAGGAAAAGACAATTCAGTTGATTCTGTTCTTTAAATCCTGAGTGGCAGACCATATTACAGGTGTTAGATAGCCTCTTGCCAGCATGCAAACCAAAGTTTTTCAAGAACTTTCACTGTTTGTCTGCATACAGGAGTATAAGTAAGGTATTGTGATATAGTTCAGAGTTAAATATCAGTTACACTAGGGACTTGATAGTTCTCTTATGTCCTCAGCCTCTCTGTGGTAAGAAAGGCAGAAATACCTGTTAACTTATCATAACTAAGCCTTATACTCAGGACCTTAGCAAGTTCTACCTACGTATGTCTATGTACAGCCTGTAAATTCAGTTCCAAATCTCTATCATCTGTTTAAGGAGTCACTGAACTGAGAAAGAGACTCTGTTTAGGATTGATGGTCTGCACCATTACGTGAACTATTCTGACTCATATCTCAAGTCTGAAACTCATGTATTTACTAGTTAAAACCTTTGGCAGGAAAAACACTTTTGCATGTGTATTTAGGGCAGGCAAAGGGAAAAATAAGCCAACAATAGGTATAATACTTTTTCAATGCCATCTGGTGGATGTCACTAAGCTATATCCATGTTAGCATTTCCTTCCTTCCTCCCTTAGTCTCTTTGTCTTACATGCTTGGCTTTCTGAAAGAAGAAAACGTTTGCTGTAAATGCTGACACTGAGAGTAGAATGACAAATCCTCCTATAAAGGCAGAGTGCTATTCTGCTGTTAAAAATAAAGCAAATGCAAGTTGGCAAGAATGGTAGCCTCTCCTACCCTGGGTTTACTCTGACTGAAAATCCTCATGGAAATGCATTAATGATTTCTTTACTGTGTGATTAATAACAGGAGGATGCCGTGGAAATACGTCCAGTACCAGAATGTCCCAAGGAACATCTGGGTAATAGAATATTGGTCAAGTTGCTGACCCTGAAGTAAGTATCAGCAAAGACAACCGATGTACTGGTGTTTGTTTTGCTTTGTAGATACAAACTGCTATATCATCACAGCATGAATCAGGCAGGATTTCCCAACACACTTCTAACAATGGGGAGCTGTGGAGTAGTGGGAAGAGCAGAGCTTGGAGTTAGCTCCTACTAAGCCTTTGACAGTCATTCTTTTATATCAGCAAAGGCAAACACAGGTATCTACTAAGGTTAGGCATGTAAGGTGACTGAGTGAAATGGCCTATAGTGAGAAAAATAAGAGTGACATCAGTGGTGTGCTGGAATCAGCTTGGACTAGCCCATAGGAGCTGAGTGTAGGCATCTCTTTTCAGTTCCTCATTCAGTAAAATGACATTGGTAGCTTGAAATTGGTCATAGTGGAAGTGTTTACAACACAGAAATTAGCAAATCCTGCAAATTAGAGCCTACCGTTTTCCAGAGACTTGTTTGTTAGACACTGTGGAAGCGCAATGACAGGTGCAAACGAAACCCAGTCTCAGTGCCAGGGACAAGAGGGAGGGCTGAGGACTGTAACACACAACTGGTACACTTACTGCTGGCTTTCACCAACCCTTGCCAGGTAAGTAGGCCCATTTCTTGTCAGTTGTCTTACCTTTTTTTCAGGCAAAACTATAAATGCAGATTTTTTCTGTATAAGTTCCTACTTTCTTAAATAGTTTTTCATTTTTTTAAAACACCATACATTTCAAACAAAAAAGGGGTCCAGTGAGGTCTCAGTTTGTTGGACAATTATTTCCCACATCTATTTTAAAATAGTTATCTCTAAACGTTACTATGATACTTCTATTTTTTTAAAGGGGTCATATGTGCCCTAGATGTGTGTGTTCATTTTGTCTTGCACACTGAAGTACTGGATCTGCATATGAAACACACATAAATCCACTCCAGTGGGTTGTCCTGTGCAACACCTAGAGTGCTGGCATAGCCACTTCTTTGCAAACTACTGATTTACACAGTTACTTCTGCCATTTCGTCAGATCACGTATCCTTTTAAAAATATTAAATTTGTAAGTTCTGGGATGAGGATGTAGCTAAGTGGTAGAGGCCCTGGATTTGATCCCCAGTACCATCTGGGTAAAAAGTTGTAAATGTTCTATATTGGCAACAGTACATAAGCATAGCATTTTTTCATATGCTGTCAGAAAGTTTTCAGCCCTGGGAAGTTCTCTGGGCTTTGGAGTCCTTATTCTAGGACCAGAGTCCTGACTTGTTGGACCGCATGGCTGGACGGCCTGGTCTGTGTGGCCACCCCTTAGAAGGTGAGCCCGTGACTCACAGTCATGGGGGCTGCCTGTATGCTGCACCCCTCTCCTTCCAGCCACTTCTGCTGGTGGATGCAAGGGCTTTTCATCATGCACACAGAAATGACCAGCCTGCACACCAGCTCTGCACCAAGCAATAGAAACGGACAGACTCTAGCCCTGGCCAGCCAGCTGTCAGCAGGAGGAATGGCTGGAAGTGGCTGTGCTCCGCATTGTTCCGGAAGCATGCCCTATTGTCCGCAGCCCTCAGTCACCCCCACAGGATGCTTCACGGGTCGCTTTCAGATGCAGTGCCTGTGCCATTTGTAATGGGAGAATTATTCCCTGTGGATGTTTGTCACCAAGCTTTCTAGACCTTTCCAATAAATAAATGACAGCTGTTCTCACAGGTGGAAAAACATGGCCCACTGAGAGGCATGAGTTATTAAAAAAACAAATCCAGTCACTTGGATTTCTCTTAACTAAAATTATTGGGAGTAGTTTCTAGTGAGGTTTCCCCAGCTACGGAAGCAGAAATTAAGTAGAATTGGTGTGTTTGTCCAGTGCCCTTGGCCTGCCCAAGTGACTTAAATAGTTTATCTGTGTCCTATATGGATCTGTGAGCAGAGAGACAGACCAAAGAGATGGTTTTTTGGTATAACTACCTTGAATAAACTGTTTAAAAGAAATAGCCAGGGGTGGTGGCACTCACCTGGAATCCTAGCACTTGGAAGACTGAGGTAAGAAGATTGCCTTTAGTTCAAGGCCAGCATGGACTACATAGTAGTCAGTTCAAGCCTGGCCCAAACTATGCAGTGAGACCTTATCTCAAAAGAGAAAGAAAGAAATTTTTACAGATAAAACTTTAATGCAAAAATATGAGTAGTAAAAATTTAGTCATAATATTAAAGACACATTTTCCCATTGGCATTGATATGCAAAACTCTATTTATGGTACTATAGCTTTCAACATCTAGGGAATTTCTGAAAGGTTACTGGGATCTATAACTGTCTTTATTTTGCTATTGAGAAACAGATAAAGCCTCCGTGATACTGAAAGAATTAAGCCGGTGCCAATTCTGCAAATGTTTGTAGTAGCCAGAAAAAAAAAAGAGTGACAACAAAGTTTTTTCTATTTGTATTTTATGCTGGCGAGTTTTTTCTTTTAAAATTTAATGTCATCTTGTGCAAAATAACCTCCACTCTGAGGAGTCTTCTTGGTGGTGGGACCAAGTGTGTATTAAATTTTCCCAGAGAGTTGATTGCAAATGCAGAATTTTGGAGGCCTCCTATCACCATGTCTCCAAGATTCTGACTCAGTAGCTTTCGGGTGGGACCAAAAGCCCACATGGAAAATACTGGGAGAAATCCTATGTTCTGTGATCAGAAAGAGCTAGTTCCACAGCCTAGCGGTGTCACTTCCTAACTTTAGGGCCTTTGTCAAATTACTTTATTTCTCTAAACTTTAGTTTCTTTGTGGATAAAATGGGGATGATATCTGCATTGTTACTGTTGTTATAAAGAGTAAAGAATTGATATGTATACAGTACTTATCATACCATAATTATACATATTTAATAAATGTTAATTCTCTTTTTCTGAGCCCAGAGAACTTAGCACTCAGGACTTACCTAAGTGTCACACAATTATATACAAATTGTGCCAGGCATTCACAGGTGACCCTTGATGGAGTAAAGCCCCCAAGTAATGTGTATTATCTAACAAGAGAAAGAATTATCATGAAATTCTCAAATGGTTTTTATGGGCAGATGATATAATAGAAAATCTAGTGTTGTAACCGTTTTTGATATGCAGCTCAGTAGCATTCAGTACATTTAGACTGCTGTGCAACCATTGCCGCTGTCCATCTCCAGAAAATTTTCATCTTCCCAAATCCAGAGTAATTCCCCTCTCCTCCATCAAGCCCCTGGCAACCACCATTCTGCTTTCTGAGTTTGACTGTACTAGGTATGTCACGTAAGTGGAATTGTACACCGTTTGTCCTTTGATGACTAGCTTATTTAACTTAGTATAGTGTCCATGTTGTGTATCAGACTAATCTTCCTTTTTTAAAATTTTCTTTATTTTAAAGAAAATAGTACAAATAAAAGAACAATAGCAAAATACAAACAAAACAATGCAAGGACATTAGAAATGATAAGGGGTTTCAAACCAAATGATAGGGATTAACAGTGGTTGTTATATTACATACTGTTATCTTCAATGAAGTTGCTCAGATTACCAGATGTGAGAATAGAAGATTGATCAAATCATTAAAGGGAATAAGAAAATAATAATTTAAAAGAACATTAGAGACAATACATAGTTTCACTAGACAGGATTGTAAGAATTTACCAGTGGTTGTTATACTGCAAACTGTTGTCGTCATGTAAGTTGCTCAGATTACCAGATATAAGCATTCAAAATTGGTCTAGGGGCTGGGGATTTAGCTCAGCGGCAAAAGCGCCTGCCTGGCAAGTTCAAGGTCGTGAGTTCGGTTCCTGGTACTGGAGAAAAACCAAAAAAAAAAAAAAAAAGAAGTTCAAAATTGGTCAAAATATAAAAAAAACTTTAAAAAAAACTTTTAATCATTAACTGTTCCCTTCAACAAACCATCAGGCACCAGCAGTACCTTTATGCCACCGGTCCATATATAAATATATATAAAACCTTAGTACTTCTTTTTCTTCTTTCCCTCATCCCATTTGTTCCTTCCTTTGAGCAATTTCTTTCCCTTTCTTATTATCTATTGTACATTTTGAGTTTTATTTACTCTTTCATGTTCTTACACCAGGGAGACAATTTGATGTTTACTGCCTGGGAAATACTTTAAGGAATCAACAACTGGGATCTTATCTTTTTGAAAAGTTTCTGCACATCAAAAGAAATCACCAGGAAAGTAAAAAGAAAACTCACAAATTGGGAAAAAATTTTATCCAAATTCCCGTCAGACAAAGGACTCCTATGTAGAAGATATAAAGAATTTTTAAAAATCAGACCCCCAAAATTCAAAGACCCAGTCCAAAAATGGGCATCTGAGATGAACATACACTTCTCAGATGAAGAAATACTAATGGCAAATAAATATATGAAAAAGTGTTCAACATCATTAGTCATTCAAGATATGCAAATTAAAACAACACTGAGATTTCATCTCACCCCAGAAAGAATGGCTATCATCATGAAATCAACCAATGACAAATTCTGGAGAGGCTGTGGGGAAAAAAGAACCCTACTCCACTGCTGGTGGAAGTGTCAGTTGGTGAAACCACTGTGAAAATCAGTGTGGAGATTCCTCACAAAAGTGGGATTGGAAGTCCCACTTAACCCAGCTATTCCCCTTCTGGGTATTTTTCCAGAAGAATTGAAAATGTCATACCACAGCTATATATGTGCACCCATGTTTATAGCAGCACTGTTTGTCATAGCTAAATCTTGGAAACAACCCAAATGCCCATCCACTGAGGAATGGATAAAAAAGATGTGGTATTTCTATACAGTGGAGTATTACTCAGCTATAAAAAAAGATAAACTCGAGGCTTTTATAGGTAAATGGATGCAACTAGAGACCATACTCATAAGTGAAATAAATTGGACCCACATGTGTAAAAGTAATCTTCCTTTTTAAGTGAATAATATGCCAGCATTCCATTTTGTTTATGCATTCACCTGTCCCACCATTTGACTGTGGTGAAAAATGCTGTTTCTCAATATTGTTTTCAAATTACATTCACATACATTATCTTCCACAATTCTTACAACTGTGGAAAATGGGAATGACAAGTGTCCTGCCCTCATTTTCCAGATTTTAAAAAGTAGAACTGGGAAAAAGGTAAGGGACCTGATTAGAATCCCAGAATGGATAGGTGATGGGAGAGGAAACGGAGCCCATGTCTGTCTGCCTCAGAGCCTGTGGGTCGGCTGTTACTCCAGGCTGTCTCATTGCTAAAGATGTCATCTGACCATTTAACCCTTTTGTCTGTGCATACATCCTACCCAACTAGTCTTCTTAGAAGTCCTCTTTTGAGACAAAACTACCCAGTGGAACAACCATTCTTTCACACCTGCCTCAACATCAAATTTGGCCCGATTCAGATGGCTTGTGAGGTAACGGTGGTCCAGGCCTCTTTGTTGGTGCTCTCGGTGGGCCAGGTCCTGGTTGTTAAGCTGAGAAACGTGGAAGATGCTTATCTGTGTTGCGTGTATACTTACAGCATGTGGTAGGTTTATGCTTTGGGAATAAGTTTTCTTTATACCCACCATCTTAAGAGGAATCAGCAGTCAGGGTCAATATAAGGGGCTCCTCTCTCTAGCTCTCATGAGGTCCCGACTCCTCAGTATTTATGTTCTCTGCTCAGCCCCTTCCTCTTACATAAACTCAACAGTTCCCCAGCAGCAGAGTGTAGGAAGGGCCAGGCATTCATCTACGTCATGACCCCGTCTTCTCACTGTCCCGCTATAATGCTAAGAAAAAGTAATTGAACATTTCTTTTGTATTATCTCAAATGCCCAATTCCTTAAAATTGAGTAAAGAATTTTCTGTCCTAAAAGTAAACTATAAACAAGCTAAGAGACTTCCTTAAAATATGGCAGCTATAAGAAGTGCTATTTTAGATCAGACCAAAGGTCCACTCAATTGTGCCAATTTTTCTTGTAGTGCCACCAACAAGCATTTGAGGGGAATGCGACCCTCTGTGTGCTCATATTATCAGAAATTTTCTATGTATCTTTCATATTTCTTCATTAATATCCAACTGCAACTCTTAGGAAACTATTTATATTTTTAACTAGTTTATACATCCAAGAAGCTTCAGAAAATTCAAAATTATCTAATTTAGGGGCTGGGGATTTAGCTCAGCAGCAAAAGCACCTGCCTGGCAAGCGCAAGGTCGTGAGTTCGGTTCCCGGTACTGGAGAAAAACCAAACAAAACAAAACAAAACAAAATTATCTAATTTAAAACCAGACTGACCTTCTTTCTCTTTCTTTCTTTGACAGGTTTGAGATTGAAATTGAGCCTCTGTTTGCCAGCATTGCTCTCTATGATGTTAAAGAAAGGAAAAAGGTAAGAAAACAAAAAATAAGGGCCTGGAATTTAGCTCAGCGGCAAAGCTCCTGCCTGGCAAGCACAAGGTCATGAGTTCGGTTCCCGGTACCGGAGAAAAAAAAAAAAAAAAAAAGCCATCCTTGAAGCAGGCATAGTATTCATGACTCTTTGGGTTCATGCTTTTAAATATTACTTCTATACAGAACAGTATATACATATATCACATTTGAAAGGAAATGACCTTGGGTGGATCTAGTTGCATTGCCTTTGTGAGTTGTGAAGAAATGATTTGGGAGTATTAGTAATTTATGCTATTTGAGGGATGTGTACCAGAATCATCTGGAAGACTTAGTCAGACATAGATAATGGATCCTGTCCCAGCATTTCTGGTGAGTCTGAGAGTGGAGCTCAAAACTTTGTATTTCTATTAGAATTCTTGATGATGTTGTGGCCAGGGGACCATATTGTGAAAACCACTGACTAAAGGGACAAGAAGTTTCTGTCTTTTGTTGTTGTTTGCAGTGCTGGGAATTTGCACAACATCTCATACATGCTAAGCAAATGCTGTTTTGTTTCTTAACAGTCCAAAGTGTGTGGAGCAGTGAGTGGAAGGCCGGAAATGCCTTCGTCCTGCTCAGTCACTCAGAAACCCAGGACAGCAGTGCCTCCTCTTCCTTCAGTATGTGGAGGGACCAAAAACTATAGTGAATGTTTCATTTTTATTTTTTTTTGTTTTTGTTTTTATTTTAAAAATAAAAGGAAAATATTAACAGACAGACAACATTTTACAAAATAGCAAAGGAACAGTACAGACAGTACAGAATTACAAACAAAGTGGTAGGGAATTAACAGTGCTTGTTGTATTACATATTGGTATCTTCAAAGTGGTTTTGAATGTTTCATTTTTAAAAATTTATTATAGGGGCTGGGGATTTAGCTCAGCGCCACAGCGCCTGCCTGGCAAGCGCAAGGTCATGAGTTCGATTCCTGGTACTGGAGAAAAACCATAAAAAAAATAAAAATAAAAATAAAAATTTATTACAAAGATACATTGCCATTAATCACCTTAGAATGTACGCCCTTGTTTTCTACACACTTATCCCATCATTTGTGCCACTTTCTGAAACAAGTCTGGAAGTACTCTTTTATAGAGAGCCTGCTCTTGTCCTCATCTCAGTCTGGAGGAGTTCATATTTGTAATCCCAGGGAAAAGTTACTGGAATTCTACTAAGTAAATTCCAGTCTGCCACTTCCAGTGCAGCCCACAGTGAGAATAAAGAGACAAACACATATCTGCCATTGTGGGGAGCCAACCAGTCCTAAGTCCATTCGGAACAATGGCTGACCAGAACAAGGGCATGACCTGGGGCTGAATCCGGGTTCTATTAATTTGTGAAGAGGGCAGTGGCTCGGGATTGAGTGACAGTGAGAATGGTGGGAGTACATGAGTACTGTGAGCTGGGCTAGGTTGGAGGCACAATGGCACCTCTGCAATATGCAGAGAGGTCAGCAGAAAGAGTACTGGATTCTACTAACAAGTGACCTCTACACTGGAGGAATCTGCAGAACACAGTTTGAGGAAGTATCTTGTGTTTTGGGTCGGTTGCCTCAGCTTTGATGACTGGCCTTCCTGCCCTGGGACTTCACAGCCTCTTTCTGAGGCTCAATCCCAGCCAACAGCAACAAGGTAGCATCTCTGGGCCTAGCTCACGCTTAGTAGTAGGGAGCGGTAGGTGGGCATCACTGACCTGTCCCATTGCTACACATCAGCACCTCAGCTAGACCCATTTGCATTGCTTAAAGCCAATTAAGCAGGCAGAGTGTTATCCTAGCCAGCTCTGTACACATCAATCCACACAATTAAGGCAAGGTTTAGCCAATATGGAGACAAATGGTCTTCTTTCAAGGACAGCCGTCCCGGTGGTCCTTCACACTCCTTTGTGAATTTCTTTAGCTGCACTGTCATGGCTGCCTCAGTGTCCTGAATCAGTTTAAAATATTTATATTTCACAGTCATCTTGACTTTGAGAAAGAACCAGAAGTCACCACAGGGCCAGATCCAGCGAATGAAGTGGATGAGGACACACAGTGTTTCTGTTTGTCAGAAATTGCCATAAACATAAACTGTGAACTGCTTCAGAAAGTGGCCAGAACAGTGGGGTGTGTTTGAAGTAAGAGGGAGTATTGGAGAGGGGGTTAATGGGGATGTGGTTTTTACTGTAATACAGTTTTTTCTTTACATAAATACGCTTGGTATTTTTGATGTACTTTCCCCACATCACTCTCATCATTGCCACTGCTGCCCTGAATCAGGCACAGTGTGGGCAGGGAGTGGCCTGGGGTTTGGACATGCCACTTCCGCTCACAGTTCACTGGGGAGAGCCTAGTCACATGATATGGGGTATGGTATATGGAGTCTTGGTTTGGGCAGATGTTTCTCTGTAAAATGTTCTTGGTGAGTAAGGAAGGACCCCGATAGCAGCCTTAAGTCACCTGAATTAGAAAGTCAGGGAGGGCCAGGGATATAGCTCAGTGGCACAAGCACCTGCCTAGCAAGCACAAGATCCTGAGTTTGATTCCCAGTATAAAAAAGAAAAGAAAAGAAAAGCACAAGATCCTGAGTTTGATTCCCAGTATAAAAAAGAAAGTCAGGGAGCACTGCTGATCATGTCCTGTTCTGCTCTAGCTCATAATTCTTTTTTTGTTTGTTTGTTTTTTGTTTTTTTTCTGGTACCAGGAATCGAACTCATAACCTCGCACTTGCCAGGCAGGCGCTAAGCCACTGAGCTAAATCCCCAGCCCCTAGCTCAGAATTCTTTTTTTTTTTTTAATTTTAGAAATAAAAGGAGGAAAATACAGACCGACAACATTTTACAAAATAGCAAAGGATCAGTACAGACATTACAGAGTTACAAACAGAGTGGTAGGGAATTAACAATGCTTATTGTATTACATATTGATATCTTCAGTGTAGTTTCTCATGAAAACACATATAGACATACAAAGCTAATCAACCAATGCCTCACTGACAGTTTCTTTCAGCAAGGAAATACAGGACAGTAGAACACCCGTGTTAACTATCCTGCATATACATATATACAAACTTTTTCCTTCTTTCCCTTCTCTTTTCCCATATCCCAGTTATCCTTTACCTATGAGTGCTTTCCTATCAATTCTCAATGTCTATCATATCTCCTAGATTAAATTAACTCTTTCAGGCTTTACACTAGAAAAACAATGCGGTGCTTGCACATGTATGTTTGATTTATTTCACTTATGAGTATGGTCTCTAGTTGTGACCATTTGCCTATAAAAGCCTCGAGTTTCTTTCTTTACAGCTGAGTAATATTCCATTATATAAAAGTACCACAATTTTCTTATCCAATCCTCAGTGGATGGACATTTGGGTTGCTTCCACATTTTAGCAATTACAAATTGTGCTGCTATGAACATGGGTGCACATACATCACTGTGATATGATGTTTTTAGATCTTCTGGGAAAATACCAAGCAGGGGGATAGCTGGATTGAATGGGACCTCTAGGCCTAGTTTTCGGAGGAATCTCCAAACTGATTTCCACAGTGGTTTCACCAGTCTGCATTCCCACCAGCAGTGGAGAAGTGTTCCTATTTCTCCACAGCCTCACCAGCATTTGTTATTGGTTGGTTTCTTAATGCTAGCCATTCTTACTGGGGTTAGGTGGAATCTCAGTGTTGTTTTAATTTGCATTTCTCGAATGACTAATGATGTTGAACATTTTCTCATATATTTATTTGCCATTTGTATCTCCTTGTCTGAGAAGTGTGTATTCATCTCCGCTGCCCATTTTTGGATTGGGTCTTTGAATTTGGAGGGGCTGAAATTTTTTAATTCTTTATATGTTCTAGATAGAAGGCTTTTGTCTGAGGGACAATCAGCTAAAATTTTTCCAAGTTTGTGGGTTTTCTTTTTACTTTGCTGGTGATTTCTTTAGATGTGCAGAAACTTTTCAGTAAGATGAGATCCCAGTTGTTGATTCTTTCAAGTGTTTCACGTGCAATTTGGTTTTTGTTCATGAACTCTCTGCCTACCCCTATATCTTCGTAGCTCAGAATTCTTAATGGATCCTCACCATGTAGAACACGAGCAGACTCTTTAGCTTCTGTGCCAGGCTGTCCTTAGTATGGCTGTCATCCACCATCTTTCCTTCTAGAGTATATGTGGAGTCAGCGTGGGCTCTTCAGTGTTCACTAAGCTCACTTCAGGTCTCCCGGTGTCTGAGACTCTGATGGTGCTGTGCTCTCCCCGGTGTACTTCACCACCCCGCTCTGCCTGCCAGAATCTTTCCCTACTGCCTCTGTCTCTAAAGCTTCTCCTGTGAAAATCCTTTCTGATCTCCCCATCTGGATGTGCACCTGCATGTGGTCTCTCACCTTCCCGGAACCTCCACCACACTTTATATGAGTCTGGTGACTTTTATTTTGCCTTACTATAGGTAGTGATATATTGGCCTTTTCCTCATTCTTAATTGCAAACTAGATGAGGGCAGAGGCCATGTCCTGCTCTTCTTTAGGATAGTACTTACCACACCACAAATACTCAGGAAATATGGGTGGGTTAATAAAAATTTAAATGTTTCTAGGAATCGCTTTCAGATGGCTCTAGAATATGTAAAAATTGTTTTAAAAAAGTGCTATTTAGATTTTCCATTGGCCCCTGGTCTTAATACCACATTCATGGTTATGTTTTCTCTTTTTAGTGAAATTATTTTGTGGCTTTTTCATCTGTTTTAACATATTTAAACCAGGAATGTACCAAGTCTAACTTATTTTTCCATTTTATGCTTATTTACAGATCTCAGAAAATTTTTACTGTGACCTGAATTCTGACCAGTTCAAAGGATTTCTGCGAGCTCACACGCCTTCTGTGGACCTATCAAGTCAGTCAAGATCTGCCATCTTCTCGGTCACCTACCCGTCCTCAGACATCTACCTGGTGGTCAAGGTGCGGCAGCACAGTCTGGTCTGCACATTGTGATGTCTTCGTTGTAGTCCTCTCAGCACCTGTGGGAGGTGAAAGACAGGGCAGAATGTGTCATCTGTGAGATCTGAGTGGTTACTTTCCCAACTTACCCGTTACTTACCAGAAACACTAGGGGTTTTGGAATCTGACATTCTGGTTTAAATCCTGGCTTTGCACTGAGTAGCTTTCTGAATGGCTAATGCCTAACCTTTCTGAGACTTTAGGACCTCATCTGCGTAGGGAATGATCCCTGACCTCAGGGGGTAGTCATGGCTACCGAATGAAACCTGGCCCTTCCTCCCAACTGAGGAGAATGTCCTCAGCTATCCAGCTCCAGGAGGCTGCTGTGGAGAAAAAGAACAAAGTATCTCTGTAGTGTTTCCTAACGATGTTTGTATTTTTCTAATGACCTTCAGTTAAATGTTCCCAAGTCCTGGCTCTGTCAGTTGAAGATGTGAGCTTCACTTTCCAAGATTCACTTCCCTTTCTATCACCACCTCATAGACTGTGTCTAGTGAGAGTCAAAATCAGTGAGGCCCTTGTAAGTAGGAGACACTTTCAGTGTACACGGACTCTGCATATGTAAGAAAAAGAGCCTTCCTCTATACACCTAGATGATTGGTTAAATTTAATACCAAATAGTGGGTACTTCACTGACCTCAAGCCAAATAATTGGTCTTATTGACTGTCTACACCAAAATTTTAAAACAAATTCAGGTGTCTGATTTCATGCACCCCCAGCCTTGTGTCTGGAACAAGCTTAGTTAGCTCAGTGTCTTGTGTCCTAAATCCTATTGATTCTCCTGTGAGCTCATGTAGCAGCATAGAGATACCAAAGAATTCAGGTAATTTGCAGGTTGCTTCTTTTACACCATTTTGGAAAGATTGTGAGGGACTACTATAGCTTAAAGGTAAATTGTTTAACCTTATGGAAAGTATAGTGAAAAATCTGTTGCTAAAAGTATACATCTCCTCTTGTCAAACTTTAATGTGGTAATATTAAGTGTGGTATTACTTAGACATATGTCTTAGTTACTTTTCTCTTGTTGCTGAGACAAAATACCCAATGCCCAAAATTAAGGAAGGAAGGAAAGGTTTATTTAGCTCACAGTCTGTGGAGGTTTCAGTCCGGCTGTCTCTAAGGTAGAGTAGCACATGGCAGAGGGCAACTGTTCATGGTGGTGGAAGACAGCAAAAGCAACAAGAGCAAAAGGGAGGAGTGGTGGCAAGCAGCCTCTTTCTGTCCCTTACATTGTATGCAAACTGCCTGCCCCAGGGCAGGTGTAGCACTCACACCCATAATCACAGCATTGGACTATGGATAAATCAAATATCTAGAAGCACACCCCATGACTGCGTGAGGATTTGGGGGGACATGAGGACACAAACCATAACAACATATAGGAAAGCTAGCTTAAATCCTACTCTGGTTGCCCTGTAGTTAAGTTCACAATCTCTCTTGGCCTGGGAAACCAACACTAGTTCTGTGAAGCTAAATTTATTTCAAACTCTGTTCTCAGCGAGTGACCTTATTTTGATTAATCTGTAGTGCTCTGCCAAATAATAGTGCTGACCTGATGGTTAATAAGCACTGACTACGTCCTCAAATTTAAATGCACTCCTTGGCAATAGCAAGCTTACTGTAAATTGTCTGGATGCAATTAAGAAATTTAAATCTGCACAGCAAGGCAATCCCTTGTTTGCCTTCTTTTTGTTTATCTTAGCTCTAAGGTCAACATTGTTGCTGCTTCCCCCTAAATAGGTAGTAAATGGTGGTGTGACCTTCGGCACACCCAGGCATATGTCATTTGATAAAGACAGGCTTCCTTCTTTATCCTTGTTTATTCACAGGCTGAACACCAAGATCTTAACTGTATTTGGGTAGAACCACATTCACTTCGTTCATATATTGCGTATAAAAAAATCACTTGATGAAGGCTTCAAAGTTTAATTCAAGATTGTGTGATGTAGATAAAAGGATTTCTTTCACAAGTGAGGAATGCCTGAGTAAACCTCAGGCTTTTAAAAGACTGTTTAAGAATAGACAAGCAGGCTCTGGGCCAGACCCTCTTGAATAGGATAGAAGGCAGCCTCGTCACCTGAAAAGTCCTAGTGACAACTTGTGCATTTCATTACACCCACCATTGCGCATCAGTCGTGAGGGACCGGTGGCTCGCACCGCCTCCAGCTCTTCCTCAGGCAGCACATGGAGTCATCCTGGCCCACTGCAGGGGTGGGGTGGACAGGAGGTCCTGGTCCAATCAAATCTGGACATAGTCCCGCTTCCAGATTCTGAGGATTCTTCCCCTGTGAGTTTGCAGTAAGGCCATGACATTCCTGTCCATTGCTTCAAAGTTCTACTTAAGAAGTTCTTAATCTCTGTTCAGAATTCATTTTACTTTTTTTATGGAAAAAATGTAAGACAAATTTCATAGCAAGATGTTAGAAGAATAACAATAGTTAATACATTGCATATTATTATCCTTAAAGTAGGTACTCAGAGTACAAGATATGGGCAAAAGAATTCTCCAGTCCATATTAGCACAAGCCTTCCTTTTCTATGAACTAAGAGACACTAATAATACAACTAACTTGCATTTTTCCTTTTTCCCTTCCTTCCCCCTTTCCCCATCCTAATTTCTTTTTCTTTTTAACCATTTCTTCCCATTTCAGAATATCTATTGTACATTTTAGACCTTATTTATTCTTTCAGTTTCTCACACCAGAGAGACAATACAATGTTTACATGTGTGAGTCTGATTTATTTCACTAGTGAATATGTTTCTCAACTTGCATCCATTTACCTATGACTTTTATCCTTCTTTATGGCTAAGTAATACTCCATTGTACAAAAAGACCACATCTTTTTTTTATCTATTCCTCAGTTGATAGGTTATTTCTAGGTTTTAGCTATTACAAATTGTGCTGCTGTAAGCACTGGTGTACATATATCACTATGGTATGTTGTTTTCAATTCTTCTGAGAAGATACCCAGAAGGGGAATAGCTGAGTTGAGTGGGACCTCCAATCCTAGTTTTTTGAGGCATCTTCACACTGATTTCCACAGTGGTTTCACCAGTCTACACTCCCACCAACAGTGGAGAAGGGTTTCTTTTCCCTCACAGCACCTCCAGAATTTATTATTGGCTGATTTCTTGATGATAGCCATTCTTTCTGGGGTGAGATGAAATCTCAGTGTTGTCCTAATTTGCATCTCTTGAATGACCAATGAACACAACCCATTTGAAAGACCATGGCTTTATCCACTGAGTTCATTGGAAAAAATAGTTTCATTCCAATTCATTCTGTGAGCTCCTGACAATACACATCAGGAGAACAGGGTGCATATTGTGTATACCACCTAAACTCCTCTGCTGCTGTCATATAGAAGATAGTCAATGAATGTTTTTAAATGAGTTATGAGGACAAATACTGACTGACAATAGTTTCTAAGCTCAAGTACGATGCTGCTGCATATTCAATGTGGTGCATCTTCTAGTGGGACCAGCCTGAGGTTTTAAGTTCCTTTGATGAGAAGAGAGACTTCCTGCTTGAAATCTTCCCCGAATCAGGTGTCCATTGAACAGTGCTATGCCACGTCCTTTAACCCATTAAATACCCCTCTACCGGGGCTGGGGATTTAGCTCAGCGGCAAAAGCGCCTGCCTGGCAAGTGCAAGGTCGTGAGTTCGGTTCCCGGTACCGGAGAAAAACCAAAAATAAATAAATAAATAAATACCCCTCTACCAATAGGGTATTCTGGCTTAAATACCTGGGGGCCTACCTGATAACTAGAGTCTTAATAGAATATGTGTCTATGGATGTGAGAGTGATCTGGCCATGACATCTGTCAACCCTTTGATTGCCAGGGTTGATTTGGTTAATCTGGCTGGCTTGGCAGGTGTCCCCTTCCACCCTTACCGTGCCATAGCATCCCACCTAAAGCTGTGCATTTGGTTGAAGAGGATGACCTTCCTTCCCCGATAGAGGAGGGCCATTTCCTCAGCCAGAGGTGTACAAGTGGCTGCACTCTCTCCTAAGACCTCCGCACAAGCTCTCAAGGATAAGTGTCTACGGAACACACTGTCTCAATTCAAGCATCATCTGAACAGACGACACAGGCTGACGGGACTGAGTCTGCTTGTTTTTCTTGTCAGCATCTAAATTTTAAGCCTATCTAGCACATCCGGGCAGGCACACTTGATAAAGAGGGGCTTCTTTCTTTAGTGTTAAATTCTCTGAGAATTAGGGAGAGAATTAGCTGAGAATTAGGGAATTTCAAATATCTCCTTTTCTCTGTCTTAATGATGGTGCCCAGATTTATGGCCTGCGACCAGCCAGCTCCTTTACCAGAAGCAAAATGGGAAGAGATGCTCGATGTAGCAGCCCTCAGCCGTCTCACAAGCACTTAGCAAATCGAGAGCTGCACGTCTCAGTGCTCTTGAGTTTCTTTCCAAGTTGCTAAATTCGGAGAAGCAGCCCTAATAGGAAATACAGGACACAATTACAGAGAATTTATTCTGTTCATTTATTCATTTTGTGCAAGGTTTTAGTCCCTAACCCCAGCTTTTATAGAGACCATATCTCTTTTTTACTTTGTAAGCACTGCTAAACGAAATGAGCTTTTTACTTCCCACATATATCTCATGGGTCTTGTTTTATAAAATAACTTTTATTGCATTTTTATTATGGACATAATACATGTTTATTGTTTAAAAATAGAAACTACATATCAGCAATGGGAAGAAAATAAAAATCACATAACCCCACCACACAAAGATAACTATTGTTAACATTTGCTGTGTATCTACTATCATCCTTTTAATATGCCTTTACAATTCTTTTCGTAAAATTATATGGTACTGTTCACATTATTTTTTTTTAATTAGAAAATATATATTATGAATATCCTACGCCCCCAAATACTGTTCCTAAGCATGATTTTGAGGGTTGTATAGATTCCATTATGTGGATATAACTCACTCACTTTAATATTATTTTTTGTGGATAGATTGAAAAAGTCCTTCAGCAGGGAGAGATCGCAGACTGTGCAGAACCCTACATAGTCTACAAAGAAGGTGACGGCGGAAAGGTATGACAACTTGAGTATTGCTACATGGTGACATCTTGAATAAGCAGATATTCTCAGAAATGTTTCACAAATAGTTAATGAGGGTTAGACCACAATAACACTAATAAACTGTATTTAAGCAAAAGAAGAAAGACTAGTTATTAGTAGTCATCTTTTAGAGAAATAAATCCTTGCATTCATAAGTGATGCTATGCACCAGTGACTGAGTACAAAATTTGGCTGGGACAAAGCCAGGTCCTGTTGTCTTTGTTCTAGGACTTGAAACAACGATTAGGAAGGCTACAGAGATCCCACGAAGCCCCGCGGGGCCAGTGCTCTCCCTGCCTTCCTAACAGCACAGGGCACTGTCCTCCCCACTATTAACATCATAATGTGTGTCATAAATTAATTAGCATATCGTAAGTCCTAAGCCATGAAAAAGACATCTTTTCTCAGCACCAATTTGCAAAGTTTCCTGGTGTAGTTTTTAAAACATAACCTTTCTGGAATAAGGCTTCCCTAATTGGCCTCATAAATTTCAAATAAAATTGATGGAACTCAAGAGTTTTAAATCTATCACTTAGTCTGAACTTAGAACACTTGGGAAGTTGTTAGGGGCCTTGGTAGTTTGTTTTGTTTTGGTTTTGTTTGGAATTTTGGTTTTGTTTATGTCTTGAGTTTTCCAGAGCAACTTTGTTAAACACATTCTCTTGGAATCTTGGTAGATGATGTATTAAACTTTTCATCCCAAGTTTCTCTCATGAGAGTCCAAGTCATGTACATACCTGAAAGAAGCACTTGTAGGTTAGCTGGTATAAAAACTTTGACATTTCTTTTTTTAGCAGAATGTTCAGTTCACTTGTAGCCTTTTGTTAAAACATTCCTTTTATAATGTTTATTTCCTTACTGTCTAGGATTTCTGGCACAAGTTGAGCCATTTTTCTGCTGATTCACTTCTTAATCAGTAGAGTTGGGGGTTTAGAGATGACTGTTGGATCCACATCAGATACAGATAACTTGGTGTGAATGTCATATTTCTTGTTTCACCTCATCTCTTCCATTTTTCCTCTAGAATAAAGAAAAGATTGAAAAACTAAAACTTCAAGCTGAATCCTTCTGTCAGCGTTTGGGGAAATACCGGATGCCTTTTGCCTGGGCTCCCATCAGCTTAGCAAGCTTCTTCAACGTCTCCACCCTTGACAGGGAGGTAACTGATGTGGAGCCCACACTTGGTAAGATTTTCATCTGCAGTGGGAAGGGGCTATTCCCCAGTGTACAAGCCCTGACGTCAACTGCTTAGTAATAGGGGCTCAGGAGTACAGGAAGGGGTAAGGGTGACAAAGAGGAAGGAGATAAACAGAATGACTGACTTGCATGTTTGATTAAACAGTGATTCCCCCAAACAATCACCATGAACATTAATGGAGCTTAGATATGACCTTATGTTAAGAACTTTGCCTGGAATTTTGTAGCTGTTTTATCTCTTCAGAAAGTTAATTTTCAGTAGCTTCTTGTTCTCAAAAAATAGACGTCTTGAAAATAACAAGAAAATGTAGTAACCATCTATAGTTGGCTAAGCAAAGCTACCATGTTTGGCTCTTAATCATAAGAACAACCCAGACACAAAGGATTTGGGAAGCAAAACTTAGATTTCCCAGCAAAATTTTCAGTCTCTTAGAGTCTATTTTGCCAAGCACCATGAAAACATGGGTGCCAAAAGAACATCTAGTTACTGCTCCAATTTATTTTGCATGTGTCTTCCTTTCCATCACCTCCCTTCTTGGTCCGAACCATTAATTTCCTACAGGGCAGGTGTGGAACGGTGCAGGTGTTTCACAGTTTTTAAGTAGGCCCCCATCTTACCACCTGTGGCAGGGTTATGTTTCCCTAAATGCCATTGTATTCAGCAGATATTTAAGTCAACCTTCACATTTCTCATGCATTCCTTACCTCTGCTATGTGTGAACTGTTAGTTTTCCACAGGAAGGGAGGAAGGGTCTCTGTTAGTGCTGCTGCTCTTCTGGACTTACAACATAATTACCAGTCAGAACTCCTGGATTGTTTCTGATTTGTTGATAACGAACTCCCCTTTATTACTTTTTTGATCTTCACACCACAATTTTTCTAATGCCAACTTCTCTGTATAGTCAGCCTTATCTGCACATGTTCTGTGTGGAGTTTAAACTGCTCCTTAACGTCGGTAATCCAGACATAGGATTTGCTGAGACCTCTGTAATCTCTAGGTCAAGGATGAATTAACCTGACCTCAGAATCTGAACCCTGAAGTGTAACCAGAGGTGCAGTATGTTATGCTGAGATAGTATAGCAAGTTGAGGTAGGTCGTGGTTGCAAAGAGTTTCAATTCAGCACCAGAGTAAGAATTAAGGATAAGAAAATATTCAAAGGTAGGAGTTGGAACTGTTAGAGTTTTAAGTAGTTTGACTATTCACCTTGGAAACCCTGAGATTTTCATTATAAAAGCCACACGGACCAGAAACAGCTATGCACAGTCCAAGTCTTGGCCCTGTCTCATTCCCGTTACGGGCTCAGCCCTGGCAGAAGCTCAGCTCTGTTTCCTGGTCCACAGGCAAGAGCGGAGGCAGGCCAGAGCCACAGCGCACACAGGCTGACCCTCATTTGCTGGGTCACAGTCACAAATGCCTTCAGGGATATCAAGTACATGTCTCTCCCCAGTGGAATGCAAGTGTGAAAATGAAGCAAAAGCAAACTCCGTGCTGACTAAATAAAGCTTATCAGGAGACCCTCTTCAGCTGCACTTCTGGACTCTTGCTGGATGGCACCTGGCCTACCCTGATCTCCACGGGGAAGCCTGGCCTCTGCTCTCTGGTCCCAGCAGGACTAAGCAAGGGCACATGGAGGAAACATTGCATTCAAAACAAAGATGGCCGTGTTCAGCGTCTTTAAACATGCTTTAAATACGGCAATGTTAATAACTGTTGTGTATTCAAACAAAAAGGTACACTTTAGAATGACAGTTGTTTTTCTCAAGGGCGAAACTCCGGGGGTGAGCGAAGGAGTCTATCCCAGTCCAGAAGGCTCTCTGAACGAACTCTCTCCTTGGAAGAAAATGGGCTTGGATCCAACTTTAAAACCACCAGCATGACCATTAACAGCTTTTACAAGCAGGTAGGTATCTTTAGATGTTACCGGAGTGTTGGCTGTGCCTTCATGTTGGCATGGGTGCTGGGGCCCAAAACAGGAATAGTGAGGCGTTAGGAGATTAAGTTAATAAACCTCACCAAATTTTTGTTATCTACAAAACAAGTATGCTGGCTCACCTTGCGTTGAGGACTGTTGGGAGGATTCCAAGGCATGAGGCATGGGACACTCCCCTCACGGCACCTAGGATCTGTAAGCGCTTAAGTGCTTAGTGAGTACCAACTATGTTCATGGAGAAACAGATTTGTCCCTGTTAGTACAAACTGTCCTGCTTGAACCTATATTGCTCAATTTGTGCATGAGCTGGCTGAGACACTGTGTCCCTACTGGCCTCCGGTCCCCTCGTCTGTCTGCCCTTCTGCCCGCTGTTCTCTGTGCAGCCTTCCCAGGACTCCTGCTTGCTCAGAGAGGGTGACCCTTCCAGGTGGAGCTCTTGCAAGTTTAAATTTTTAAACTTTCTTGAGTTTTCAAATGCATAAAGACAGAGTGTCCTGTGGGATTGCCAAGGGCTGGGGGAAGAGGGTAGGTGTTAAGGGATGTAGAGGTTGAGAAGGTTTTTCACAAGATGAAAAAAATCTGGAGATTAGTTGCACAACAATGTGAATGTACTTCAGCTGTACCCTTAGAAATAAGCTAAAATGGTAACTTCTATTCTTTTCATATTTTCCTCTTAAAACTTACACTCACTCTGACTTTTTTGGAAAATTTTTCCATAGCTCAAGCATCTTCAGGGGGGCATTAAAACAACCAACCACCTGCAGAAAGCGAAATGCAGGAAGGACTGTGCACCGTGCCGCATGATAGGCATAGAAAGCAACTGGAAGGGTTTCTATCTAGAATGTTCAGTGCATTACCTTGGGGGACAAGCTCCTTGACTCAGCTAAGCCTGAGTTTTTTCCCCTGGTACTAAGACATGTGCATCTGCCTCCCTTATGGAGTAGTTGAAGATTCGATCATGCGTGTGTTGTCTTTGGCAGGGTTCCTGCCCCACATGGGCATGTGGAGGTAGCACTTATGCTTTACCTCCTTACTCAAGGCAAATGTAAAGAGCACAAAGTAGGAGCGAGAGCATCCTCAGCGGTTGTAGTCACAGGCAGAAGCTTCCAGCTGGATTCCTAAGAATCAGGCTCCTTCAGGATATAGCAGAGGCCCCATCCCCAGCAAGGCCGTGAGAAGCTGGTTGAGAAGAACACGTGACAGCAGTTGACTTAAATGATTTCAAAGTTGCCTGTAATCCTAATTTCTACAAAAGACTTCTTAGGATAAAACTTAAAGATAAATATCTTCCCAGAAATACCTGGTTGTGAGTTCAGGAATCAGCGGAGCATCTACAGTAACCCTGTATGGTTCTCTTCACAGGAGGGGGATCGCCTGAGTGATGAAGACTTATTCAAGTTTCTAGCCGATTACAAGAGATCTTCATCCTTGCAGAGAAGAGTCAAGGCGATCCCAGGTGTGGAGAGCTCATCTTTCTCCTCCTGAGTTGTGCCCAAGCCCCCTGTAATTGCATAGATTCTTTGTCTAATGCTACCAGGACAATGTGGAAGTTGTAGTTCAAAGTTAAGAATCTGAATCGGTTTGCATTTGGGGCACATCTGGGTTTTTTTGTTTTGTTTTGTTTTGTTTTTCTTAAAGGATTGGTTCTATAACTACTGTTCTTCAGATCTAGTTTCTCAGGTTGCTGTTGAACTGAATGGTCTCTTTTATCCAATAAAATATTCTGTGGAACCCTGAGTCTATGAAAAAAACTGAAAGCTCTGAAGAGAAACCAGAGTGTGTGATATGCTGTGATGGAGGGTGGAGACCCTTTCCCTGTTCTCAGCAACACTGTCCCTAAAGACTTCTGTAGCACCCTTGGGTGCCAAGGAACTCAGTTTGAAAACCACCACATTTTCCTGCTAGCAGTGCAGGGAAGTTATTACCTATATATCGTAATGTGGTAATTCTAGAAGGAACTACAAAGATCCTTTGATCCACTTCCACTAGTTTTTCAAACTATAGGAAATTAGTGGGGAACTCCAAACCCCTTACACTTGCACAATTTATCCTTATTTGTATAAAAGCAGCACAGTATGGCGATCTTTCTAGATTCCTTCCTCACATGATAATTTCTTTACTGAACCCGTCCTGTGTTCCCTCTTCAGGTGTGCTGCGACTAGAGATCTCCCCGGCTCCAGAGGTCATCAATGGCTGTCTGACTCCTGAAATGTTGCCTGTGATACCCTTTCCTGAAAACCGGTCACGTCCACACAAAGAAATTTTGGAATTTCCAATCCGAGAAGTATATGTCCCTCATACTGTGTACAGGTAAGAAACACAGGCTTTGGGAAAACCATTCAAAATTCCAAACTTTGTTAGAATGTATTCATTGTCCTCCAACCTTTCTGCTCTCTTAAGTTTTGAGGAAAATGAAATATGATGTTTACATGGCTCCTGATGATTGCTGAATCTCTTTGTAAGGATTTAGCTCATTCTCATTAATAGGAAGGTGAATCTGCAATCATAAGTGTAATTTAGGATTATACTGAACCTATTATCTTCAGAAATGGAACAACTTTACTAGTCATGACCTTGGTTTTCTTCTGTGCAGAGGGACAAATAAGGCAGTGAGAAGCATGACTAAATAAGGCAATGAGAAGCATGACTAAACCATCCTAGTTTTATGTGGCCAACACAAGCTTTGTCCAAGAGAATTTACAGCAATGGCGGAAACGCTCTATATGTGTGCCGCTGGCAGCCATCGGCCATTTCAGCGTTTGGCTAGTCAGTGATGGAAGTGTAGCCAATGGGATGGAGGAAAGAAAACTTAATCTAATTTGTTTGAGTTAATTTAAACTTAAGTAGCAACATGTGGTCGGTCCCTCCATATTGGAGAGCAAGGAGGTCCATGCTGAGGGCCTGAAAAGCTAGATTGCCGTCACTCCCAAGAGTCACCCGTGCACCTTATGAGCTCTTGTCCACATACGTCTCATGAAGCACTGCTGCTTGGGTACTTTTACTGTTTATTTTGGGAAGGTGGTTTTGAAATGCAGTAAAGAATGCTGTATCTAGCATCCAGAAATGACATTTTGTTGTTTTTATATTTTTATATGAAACATAAAATCAAATCATATGATTACATTAAGCCTTCTTCATGCCCAGAGTTCTGCTTTGCTCCTAATCATCACTGTTATGGACACAGGCGTCCTCTCTTCTGTTTTCTATGGTTTTACACACATACACATGTACATTATCTATGAGTACCTGTATTCATGTAAAAATAGTTGTTATGGTCGATACGTTGTGTCACCTGGGGAGTCTAGCGGTTTGGCTAAGTGACTCAGCAGGGAGCCAGGGTGCTTACTTTGTATTCATCCTGAGCCTGTGCAAAAGAAAAACGTAGAGAGGCTGTGGGTATAAAAAAACCACCCTAATTCCCCCAGGACAGATAAGCTACATAAAAAAAAATTTTAAAAATAATGGCTGCTGGTTCTTCAAAAGAGCTCCAGTCTTCGCCTTCAGCTTGGTCACCTCCTGGCTTCTGGTGCAGACTATTCGGCTTCCACCTGAGACTCCAGCCTTCTGGTGTAGGCTCTCTGGCCTTCGTCCTAGAGTCTTCAACATTCGGTCACAGACCCATCAGCCTCCTAATACAGACTTACACAAACACTATAGTGAGCTCCAGGCCCGGGGCTGGGCTCTTCAATCTCCAGTGTGCAGACATCCTCTGCACACTTCCTCATCCAGCTCTGTGGCTGACCATTGTAAGCCAAATTTATAATTTCTTATACATTTATATGTCTTGTGTTATATCTGTTTCTCTAGTAAACCCTGACTGATACAATAGTATTATTTTTATATTCATTTAAAATTTATACAGTGGCCTTATATTCCATGTGCCAAGTACCTTACTTTTTCATGCAACAGCATTTTTAAAATTTTTCCTTCTTTTGAGTATTACTAAATAGTCATGAATTTTACTGACTCCATGCACTGTATTTAGTTTTTTTCTTTTTAGACTGTCATAAATTTAATCACGTAGAATTCCTTAACAGCTTGTACTTTAGATGTGTCAACACTGATTTATATAGAGCTACACCCTTCCTTTTACCAGCTGTATAGTATTCTTTTGTGTGATGAGGACATTTTTATTTATCACTTCCACTATTTGTAAATATGTGTGTTTATTCCAATTTTGGGTTCTTACCAACACCATGCCAAGACAGTTCTTGTCCTTGTGCATGTTTGAAATTTTCCCTAAGCAATATGTCCAAAGGTAAAATTACTGAGCCAGTGATATGCATTTTCAGTTTTAGTCATACTGCTGGGGTTTTTTTCCAAAATGGTACCAGTTTGCTATCTTGCCAGCAATGTCAGAATAGCCCCATTTTCCCAATTTTTCATCCACACTTTGCAGTATGCCGTGTGTGGGACTGAAACACAAAGAACTTTTGGAGCTCACCGAACCCAAACATCCCCACCCCAAATGCTCAGGGTTGAGACCCAGAGAGGAGAAGTAAATGGTTCAGTGAGAGAAAAACACTACAGTGAGTCACACAAGCGCTGCTGTGAGGAATGGAGCACTTCCTTTCTGTATGTACTTAGTACGCTCCTGTTCTCCCTACCCTCTGCTTCCTGACTTTATTCTCTACCCTCATTCCTTAGATGCCAGCCCAGCCCCTTGCTTCCTTCCCAGATAAGACAGGCATTCCCAGGATGCAGTCATCTCAATTCCCCAGGCCCTAGAGGCAGATGAAGGCATGAAATGTTTGCTCAAAGACGCTATGTTTGTATCTTTTTAGAAACCTTATCCTATTACTGGAAAAACAGGGCTTGTGGCATTGGAATAAACTCGCCCCAATGAATTCTGTAGTTATTAGGCCCCGCCCCCCATCTGTTCACCCCTGGGAGCCATTTGTAACTCTCTGGCTCCTGGCTGCAGACATTATCCCTTAATTACATCGCAGCAGGATCTGGAATGCTTTTGAGCACGGGAGAGGAGGGCAAGTCCAGACTGAGGCCTCCAGACCCACTGGCACCGTGAGGAGCAGGGCCAGGGCCACAGAGGCTTCTTTAGCTGCACTGGAGCCTGCTGGAAGGCCAGGTCTTTACCCTGGGAGTGATAGGCAAGGCCTCCCTCCCGTCTGTGCGAGCACCTCCCCTTCACCGCTGGCTGCCGTATTTTATAATCTGTGCAAGGAAAGAGAGATGTACTGAACTTGGTCCAGAATCTTACTACGTGAAAACTGCAAAGTGTTCTGGGAGCATCTCATCTAAACCCCGTACACTGCTGTCAGAGCTTTAGCATTTCTTCCCCGGCCCTCACATGCTTCATAGTGGTTAATTAGGTTGTCCTGACTATAAGCCAGGACTAGACTAATTTCTCCTTTCCCACATCTCCAGGCCTGTGTACAAAGTAGAAAGGGAAGCATCGAATCAGACTGGTAATTTGACCAAGTTAAATTTGCCGTGGGTGACCTTGCCTTCCCACTTCTGTCAGTTTCCCTTCTTTTCACTCCTTGCCATCTCCCCAGACCTCAGAAAGCTTGCAGCCTCATGGCTGTTCCTTGCTCCACCCCGTAAAAGTCTTTTAGGCAAAGATCTCTACATCCACGCTGTGGCGTCAGTGACAGATGCGGCTTGAAGTCTCTCTTCTGAGAGTATCGTGGTAGCTTGACTTCACTGAGAACTTGGGTCATCATGCTAAGGGGTTGTGCGAGGAGTAAGCGTCACTGTTGACTCGGCTGTTTCCAGGTCACAGGTGTTATCAACGTACAGGGGTCAGATGCGTCAAAGTGAGACTTCAGAGCAGGTGAATTTAGGGAAAAGACTCAGCGCCTGAATGGGACACGGCTTGACTCATCAAAGGGGCTTATGGAGAATACACCTATTGAGCCAACAAACACTGAATGCCTCCACTGACAAGGCCAGGATTTCGTGTGTAATTAGTACCCTTTTACCAGGCTGCGGAGCCCCCTTGAGTGTAGGGAGCTGTCGCATAGTTCTGGTGGCAGATGTTGCCTGGCCTCTGTCCAGCTGTTGGCCAGAGTCACACACTGCAGGATCTAATGTTGGTAGGTTTCAGTTTAACACCCCTGGAGGAGAACTCGAGTTACCTCTGCCTGTTAGTGTGGTTTCTGCCACAGGCTTGCGGAGAGTGGCGTGGGACCGCCTGAACTTGCTTGTGCATCCTCAGCCCCACCATCCTCTCACCGCTTGAGGTGTCTCCTTTCTTTGTCCTGCCCCTTCCACTGTCCTCAGTCAGCACTGCTGTGTTGTACTACGTGGGCTGCTAGCGAAGGTGCAGCCTGTGTGCGCACTGCCCCCTGCTGCCTCAGCCTCTGGGCTGCTTCAGTGAAAAGTCTAGGGAATAACTGCAGAGGACTCCCGAGCATTGAGCATTCATAAGACAAACGCCTGCTCTGACCAGAGATATCAGTTTCTAGAGCCACAAGTGCTGATTCCAAGAATGACTCAGTGGCCCCAGCCTGGGGCTCTGGTCCTCTATGAGGCACAGTGGAACTTCCCCGGGTTGGATGGAGTCACAGTGTCCCCTGAGACCCACTGAGGTAAGCAGCTCTGAGAAATCACCAGCAGGACGATGGCAGCGGTGAAGGTGGAGCAAAACAGCTGCACAAATTAGGTCAGTAGAAAGGATCGTCCATTGCTGCTTCTGTGTCCACACTTGAAAATCACGAGCTGTTTACCTTGGAACACGTTTGCACCGACTCCTGGCTTGTTTTCCGTGTGACCCAACGGCCGGCAGTAGACATAGCAGCTGCTTTCTGGTGGGAGCAGAATGAAAACAGCATGAGCTGCAGCCGAGGCCCAGGGAGGCCTTCGAGGGCATTTTATCCTGTGGCTTCCCCTGGCTCTGTGGGGAGATCACAGGCGCTGAGGTCGTAATGAGCTTGTTAAGCGCCTTACCGTCCCTTTCACCGGCAATTACATTAAAGAAGCCACAGCGAGTGCGTCTGCATCTCTCATCACAGCCCCGAGAGCCTCTGAGGCCGTCTGTCCAATTAGCAGACTCGCTGTGGACCGCGCTTGCCGGGAGAAGCCTATCAGTGGGAACATGATTCCTTTGATGGATAATTAGCCGCTCCCCAGCCTCCTCCTTCTCAGCTAAACATTCTCAGGCCAGAAGTCTGAGCTGGCCTAGGAGGGCGGGGCCTAGAGCATGGCAGTGAAATCTGCAGGAACCCTAGCAGAGTGTCAGCCTGGACATCATCGGATGGACGTAGCAACAGGTCTTGCAAGAACGTCAGGCAGTTATGAGTCAGTGAAGAGGATTTTTAAGAAAAGGAATGAACCTAAAATAACTCTGG